CCAGAGAAGGTGGTTGCTCAAGCTTTATTCGATGGCAGCTTCATGCTGGCCTATCTCCAATCTTTTATGTTCTTGGAATTCTCATCCTCGCTCTCGAGAGGCAATTTGGTAGGGCAGGGGCTTTGTCTGCTGCTGGTTAGGGTAGGCCCATCTTGGAGCCAGATTCAGGGTCATATGCATCTACTGCCGTCGGTTTGTCTTCTGCACATTGGAGCCGCATGGGGCTCAACCACCCCTTTGCACAGCAACGGGCAAGGCACTTTCCACCAAAAGGCAGTCTTCCACAAACATCTAAACCTGCAAGAAAAGCCAACTCTTGCTAGGTAGGGGCAACACTAGCAAATATCTAGAGATGATCACTCTAGGCACATGCAATTTGAGATGTATAATTAGAAGCGAGGCATAAATATACATGCATCATGAAGCAAACGCTAAAATGCAGAACAAACACACATGCAAATGACCCCCTGCAGAGTCCAGGATGGCCAACATTTATCTGAAAAACTGGAACCCAAAGAGTACTGCATAACACCAAACATCATAGGTGTAGGTACCAGACAAAATGACTGAGATTGAAGGCTAGGAGATTGAGGAATGTGGGTATTCACCTGCCAGTGCATAGGTGGAAGAAGATAACTGACTTACAACCAGGTGGTTTGTGTATCTTGGGGCTTCACTGCCTTTATTTTCTATGCTTTGTTTACCTTGCTGTTTGGATGTTTTGGCTTGCCCACTTTTCTGGAGGTTTTTTCATGGTTAACCCTTAAACTGCGCATGGCGTATATATACGCCCTGAGTAACATGTCCCATGGTGCGCATGGCGTATATATACGCCATAGGGTGCCAGGCCAGATTCAAATGGCCCGCGGCTACACGGGGTTCACAGTAGCTTCCTCAGGGCTCTTTGTAAACAGATGCCATTTAAAAAAAAAATCGTGGGCAATATTCTCAGGTGTGAGAGGCACAGTACTGTTGGAGCAACCAAGGCCGGCACACGCAGCATGAGCGAACAGCATTGATGTTCAGCTTGTGACCACAGCATCGCCGAAAAATGTCAAAATAAATATATAATTGTTATTATTTAGCGATGACAATATTACGGATGACCAATGACTGTGATATAAATAACCAGGGTTGTGATAATAGCAGGATTGTTGTAATAATTAGCGCTGTGGGAGGAGTGATGCTGAGAGACGGAGGGAGACAGCATCGTTTACTGACTGTGTGGCCACCTGTTACTGTTTGCATTGACCATACCAGGTCAGTGGTTCTCTATGGTGAACACAAATGTAGATACTTATATATAATGTGTGTATTAGTGTAATAACAGCAAAAGGATTATGCTGGGAGGAGCCATATGGGTGACGGAGGTGACGTCGTCTGCACGATTTGTCTAGCTGTTTAGAGGGTGGCCACTATGCTCTTTGGGCGCACTACAAGCTTAGGTGTACAGTTACGGTGCATAAAACATGTAGATATTTATATATAATATGTGTATATAGGGTAATAACACTGCAAAAGGTATTGTTGGGGGAGAAAGTTTAGTGCGTGTGACCTTGAAAGAGTGAGGGAGCCACCAGCCGCCATCTGTGTATAGCGACGACTCTTAGTGCCTGAACTAACTATATCAGCTTAGCTGTACAGTTGTGGTGAACAAAATATATACATACTTATATATAACGTCTGTATATAGTGTAATAACACCACAAATGGTATTGTTGGGGGAGAAAGTTTAGTGCGTGTGACCTTGAATGAGTGAGGGAGCCGCCAGCCGCCATCTGTGTATAGCGACGACTCTTAGTGCCTGAAATAACTATATCAGCATAGCTGTACAGTTGTGGTGAACAAAATATACACATACTTATATATAACGTCTGTATATAGTGTAATAACACCACAACTGGTATTGTTGGGGGAGAAAGTTTAGTGCGTGTGTTGAGGGAGTGGCAGCGAGTGGCTGGCTGATGTGTGGCGGTAACTCTTCGTTGCTTTTCGACTCTCAATACCAACTTAGTGGTTCGTTATGGTGACCAAAACATGCCAATACTTATATATAACCTGTGTATAGAGTGTAATAGCAGCTAAACTATTTGTTTATTGTTTTATAAACATAATAATTGAATCACTAATATGCACATCATACTTTTGAGTACAGTGGTACCTCGGAATGCGATTGTCCCTGTATGCGAGGTTTTCGGAAGGCGAGCAGTATTTACTCCAAAAATTTGTCTCAGAAGGCGAGGGTTACTTCGGGACGCGAGTTTGTTGATACGCGTACAGGCGGACCTAGCGCGTGGTGGTTCGGCGATCGTCGCCCCTCCGCCCCGCCGCCCCTCAGTTTACCATTGTCTCGCGCTCAGTGACTACCCCCACATCAATTCTTCTCGCGGATTTTCAGTGTTTTGTTGGATTTTTGGTGATTTGTCTATACAATTTGTTATTATATATCTCACCATGGGTCCCAAGAAAGCCAGTGGTAAGGATAAAGGCCAGAAAGCTCATGTGAGGATGACAATAGAGGAGAAACAAGAGATCATTCGGAAGCATGAGAACGGTACACGTGTTGTTGAACTTTGTAGGCAGTACAACAAAGCCACATCAACACTATGCACTATACTTAAGAAGAAAAATAAGATTATGGGTGCTAAAGTGGCAAAAGGAGTAAGAACATTAACAGCACAAAGACCACAAATACTTGAAGAAGTGGAAAAGTTGTTATTAATTTGGATACACGACAAGGAGTTGAGGGGTGATAGTGTTTCGGAGGCCATTATTTGTGAGAAAGCCAGGGTGTTGCACGAAGACCTTCTAAAGAATACCCCTGCAACGAGTGATGCAGATAAGAAAGAGTTTAAGGCAAGCAGGGGCTGGTTTGAAAAATTTAGAAAGAGAAGTGGTATCCATAGTGTTACAAGGCATGGGGTTATGTGATGTGATTATGGAAGGGGACTCCCCTTCCAAACAGTAACTCCTCTCCTCCTCCCCCCTCCTCACCATCTTCCATACGCCTACAGCACTCGACAGCAAGGTAAGTAATAACTGGAACACAGTTTTGTAGGTTTATTTAGATGAATTAGGTAAATTAGGTATAAAAATTTAGTTTGATGTGGGGTTTTTGGGGTAGTCAGGAACGGATTAATTCATTTCCCTTTATTTCTTATTGGGAAATTAACTTCGGAATGCGAGTTTTCAGAAGGCGAGGCGTCTCCAGGAACGGATTAAACTCTTATTCTGAGGTATGCCTGTATAGCGATTATTAACCACTTTTATTATATAAATATATTACAATACACACTATTGAATAATATTACTGCAAAAAAAATAAGAAAAAATCAATCGGAGACATTGAAACAATTAGGTAATAATATCTTTGTGGCAACTCCCATCTGTCAACGCGGGTGACGCTGACCGGGTCTGACGACCGCTCTGTCAACGCCCACTTTTTGCCAGACTTCCTCGGTCAATTGCGCCCAAAATATGTCACCTACGATTTTTTTTTTATTTTTTCCGTGCTCAGGGGACACAAATTAACATGTTTAGAAGACGAAAAAAAAATTTTGAGTTTTTTTTTTTCCTGCGCACAGGGGTGTAAATGTCCCAAGGACCCCTGAGCAGTGTAAGGGTTAAGGTGAAGTACGATCCCTGCTCCTTGTGCCTCTGAAAGGGGCCTAGGTTTTGGCCTCTGTTCCCTGTGTCACGTGGGGGGTGGGCCGGGGCTCTGCTAGCACTCAGCTGCTAGGGGCTCAAAAGGCCGAATACTCAGCCCCTCCGACTCCCGGGATTTACCGGAGTCTCCTTGGTCACACAGGAGAGGACCAACAATGCCCACCTCCGCAGGTCTTTGCTTCCACCAAAAAAGGGGGGTGCCACTGATTCACCCTGGAAGCCCTTCAGTCAAACACGGGGAAACTGCTGTTAACAGCTCCGGCCTAGACCCGTGGAGGAGTGAAGGAAGACTCAGGCTTACCTTATAACAGTAACCTCCCTGAGTCTTGCCTGCCAGACAAAAGGGTTGCAGGAACTCTTTTCCCACCTGTTTTCCGCTCGCTTCCAAGGTCAAGTCAACTCTGACGTTGGCGCCGCCCGGGGCACTCGGTGACGTCACGGCGGGCCCTGATTGGTCGCCCGTGACCTAAGTCGGCCAATCCGCGATCGGCTAGCATCCCTTCCAAAAGGTCATATCTGCATTAGGGGATACTCTTTCATTTTATAACAGGGCGCCAATTTCCCCTTACTTACAACTTATAATGTAACTTCCTTCCCTTAACTGGCAGCCGGTCTGGTCGCCACATATATCAATAACTCCCTGAACCTCAGAGAATCAGTAGGGAGAGCTGATATGACTCTTAAAGCAGGCAAACAAAAGAGATAGGAGAGGGCACCGTAACACCTGGTAGGCTGTCATGACTAGCTAGGAACATTGCCAGATAGCAGGCTGCAAGTAGCTCCATTTAACAGCCTGGTTGATCAGATCACCAATCACCACCTCATCATCGTTGATCATCACCTTTTGGTCCCCAGGAAGCCTGGGGACACTGATCCCCAGAACCAACACAAGGTAAATACAAGGTAAGGTGGCAAGCAACAAGGAGCCACCTTAGAAGCCCTCCCAGGAAAATAAATCACTTCTGAATCAACTTAAATTTACTGCTGCCAAACAAACAGAATAATCAAACACACGACTAAAAAGAAACATTAGACCTAAATAAATGCAGTAACCTAAGAAAATCACTCGATAGACAACCAATTGATATTATACTATACACAAGATTACTATTGTACTTATAATTTCTTTAAGTTTTAAGTCAACACATATAGACAACTTAAATGACAATATTCCTCAATTGTAACTGGTTCAGTAGAAGTGGGCATTATTAAAGGGGGATGGTGTGATGGTGAGAATATTTGATGAAGCAAATGATAATAGGGGTTTCATTATGATAGCAAAGACAACTGCCTAGTAAATGAGAGAATGTATAACAGATGATTAGTATACTCACTTAAAATCACAGTAACTGCAATGGAAAATAACAACTCTTGGGCCATTCATATTAAAATGTGCCAGTCTCTTCTTTTTTACTGGAGTATTCAATTCCATATTTTCTGACTTTTGTTTACATACCTCTTGATTTTTTCTTTTTCTATTCTTTATCCCAGACTTTGTTTTATTCTGGTTGCCAGAAGGCTGTGTCACACAACTGTCTTGTTGCATTTTTATAATAAATTTTGATTTTTTTTTTGTTCTTTCTTCATTGCTATTGGAATGTGAAGATTTATAATCTTTTGATAAAGTGTTACCTATTCTTTCCTCAGTTATTAATTCCATAAAAGAAAGCCCCTTAGACTGAGAGGCATTAGACAGGCAATTTGCAGATTTGGCCTTGCATGGCTGACTCCCCATAGCTGCAGCAGATTTTGCAAACAGAAGTTGACTTGTTGACATGTCTAGTCTTAAAATTTGAACACCATCTATCATATATTCTGTCAAAGGCAAAATTTTATTTTGTTGTGTACCTGAGCATGTGAAACTATCACAGTGGCCTCCCACTAAACATTTTTTGTGTTTTTTTTCACCTTCAATGCTTTCCTGTAGCTCATCCACCTGCTTTTCTTCCTTATATGTTACAGTCCCAGAATTATTTGAGAATGCACCAATAAAATTTCTTTGTCTTTTCTCATCACTCACTTCTATAGCTCCTACAAAATCTCCCGAAGCATCCTCATGAATTTCAGGAAATTCTGTAATCTCATAATCCTCAGGAGAATCAGGACATATACTTTTCAACTGCAGAAGGTTTTCTGTAATTGAAGGTTTTGTTGGATGCATATCATCTTGCTGTTCCATTTCTTTTAGAAGACTGGCATCTTCCTCGTCTGATTCCAGTAATAACTCCATCTTGCTCTCGTTCAAATCACCATAGTTCACACTGCTCTCCATCCTGATACAATTCAGTTAAATCTGAAAAAAAAGAATTGAAAGTATAGTATACATAATTTTTGGCATTCGGATTCTCAATGCTGTACTAAAACTAAATTTAAAAAAAAAGAAAACAATAGAGGGGGACTTCCAAACCCTGGATAACAAGCCATAATATATGACCTAAAATAAAACCACAGCAAACTAAAGAAAGCGTATTGGCCCAAATGAAGGTAGTTATTCAACTTCACAAATATCTGGGGCTAGGGCCCTTATTTGGAATACTGTATCCAAGCACCGAGACCTTATTTAACCTTAAACTGTGCATATCATATATATATGATATCAGTGACAAAACCGAACCGCGCACATCATTTATATATGCTTTCGTGTCTAGCGCTATAATTTAAACGCCCTGCCTGGGATAGGGGCAGCTATAGTACAGCCACGACCAATAGTTGCCAGATGTCACCTAGAAAAAAAATCCAGACCAACATTCTTGGGTGTTAAAGCTTCAGAAATGAGCAAGCCACCAAGGCTGGCGCACGTAGCACGAGCTCACAGCACCGCTGTTCAGCTTTTGACCACAGCATCGCCTACAAATGCCATAATATACATGATACTGCTATTATTTAGCGATGATAGTATTACAGAAGACCCCTGACTGTGATAAAACTGACCAGGATTCTGATAATAGCAGGATTGTGGTGATATTTATGGCTGTGCTCCATGGAGGGAGAAGTAAGGCTGTGGGAATGAGGGTTGTGGCGTCGTCTTCTGACTGTGTGTGGCCACCTTTTATTGACTGCACTCACCATACCAGCTTAGTGGTTCACTATGGTGAACACAAATGTAGATATTTATATATAACATGTGTATAGTGTGAGATAACAGCAAGAGGAGTAAGTTGGGAGCCGCCATTTTGGTGAGGGAGGTGTGTCGTCTGCACGACTTGTCATGTTGTTTACTGGTGACCACTATGGTCTTTGGGCACCATACCAGTTTACTTGTACAAGTATGGTGAATAAAACAGATAGATACTTATATATAATGTGTGTATATAGCATAATAACACCACAAACAATATTGTTGGAGGAAAAATATTAGTGCATCTGGCCTTGAGGGCGGCCGTCACCAGCTGACTGCGTGAATAGCTACGTCTTTGTGCCTTTACTCACCATACAAGCTTAGATGTACAGTTATGGTGAACAAAACATGTAAATACGAATATATAACACCTGTGTATAGAGAATAAATGCAAAAACAGTATTGTGGGAGGAGAATGAGGGTGAGTGAGGTGTTGTTGATTGAGGGAGAGGCAACGAGTGGCTGGCTGGAGTGTGGCGGTCACTCCTCTTTGCTTTTTGACTCGCAAGACCAACTTAGTAGTTTGTTATGGTGAAGAAAACATGCAGATACTTATATATAACCTGTGTATATAGTGTAACAACAGCAAAACTATTTGTTTATTGTTTTATGAACATAATAATTGAATCACTAATCTGCACACCATAATTTTGAGTACAGCGATGGTTCACACATTTTATTATATAAATATACCACAATTCACTGTATGGAATAATATTACTGCAAAAAAAAACTAAGAAAAAATCAATCAGAGACATTGAAATAATTAGGTAATAATATATTTGTGGCAACTGCCGTCTGACAGCTCGGGCGGAGTAGACCTAATCTGGCGAAGGCTCTGTCAACGCCCCTTTTTTGTCACACTTCCCTACCCTATTGCGGCTAAAATATGCCACCTACGATTGTTTTGTTATTTTTTCAGTGATCAGGGAACAAAAATGAATACTTCTATAAGATGAAAGAATTTTTTGGATTTTTTTTGTTGCGCCTGTGGGTGTTAATTCCATTTGGGCCCCTAGCGGTTTGAGTGTTAAAGAAAGACATGTTTGCTTTGAAGAAAATTCAACACTGGGTGGCAAAAAAAACAAAAAAAAACAAACAGCATTGAATGTAATGAAATGCCATTTTCTGAGCAATCCCCAGAGGCTCTGTGAAGCTATCCGAACTTATATGGGCTATATTCTTTAATCTAAGAATAAACAATATACAAATCAGTAGTAAAGTTGATGGTAAATTCCTTTGTGTCCTCGTCAATAATAAGCTGAATTTCCAGGGACACATTCTAAATACTGTAACCACTCGATTACCCGGGATTCGAACATCCGGAAAACGTCCTTATACGGCCAAAATTGTGACCGGATAAAGTTATCTTAATATCTGGCCAAAATGGCCATGGGAACCGGACAAAAGCTGGTTTAGCCGGATAAAAAATTGGAGCTGGTTAATTTGCTGCCGATGTTTCACTATCCTGACAGTCAGCCGGATAATCATTGCATTGCCCAGATATGAAAGCCATGGGGCGGGCCGTACCGTATTAATCCCGTCTGCCTGTGACTCGAGACGCATGGTGGAGGAGGGGACAGGGTAGGTGGGTGGTGTCGGGAGAGAGGAGAGCGTTGGGAGGGACCACCTGGGGGGATAAGGGGGAATGTGGAGCGGCCTATACACTACAGTACAGGAATTACCATTAATTTTAGAACAATTCATCATAGCCAAAATGAAAAGAAATACTAGTAATTATGTAATAAAAAAATACCATACAAGTTTCCTAAAAACAATTTGCACAGGCTGAACTTTCCTTCAAAAATATATTTTTTTCCTACTGGTGACCTATGTAACGTGCCTTCTTGCTCTGACTGGACCCGTCCATGCCTGGTCAACCCACGTGCTCTCGACCACAGTGCCGCACCATTACTGAAATATTTTTTTAAATAACTTTTTTATTTTCATAGTAACTTTGAACATTTTTGGCCAAGACTATGTCTCATAGCGGCATGAATCGTTCTGGAGATGTTAAGAGGAAGAAGGTTGTCCTAACAATTAAGGACAAGATACGTTTTATACAACTTTGTGAAAATGGCCGGTCGACTTCAAGTGTTGCCAAGGAATTTAATATAGGCACTAGTACTGTTTCTGATATAAGGAAACAAAAAGAGAAAATTCTGAAAAACTTTTCAACCTGTGAAAGTGAAGGTGCAAGGACTAGCAGAGGGTGTGGTAGAAAGACTTGAAAACTTCCGACGCATGTACAGTTGGACGAGACCGTGTACAAGTGGTTTGCTGAGCACCGCACAGCTAGCGTGACAATTCGCGGCCCAGAAATAGAAAATGCTGCAAGCAGGTTTGCAGCAAGCCTTGGAATAAAAGATTTCGAAGCGAGTGAAGGGTGGGTTGCAAGGTTCAAAGGTAGGCACAATATTGTGAAGAGGAAAATTGTCGGTGAAAAATAGAGTGCAGATGAAAGCAGTGTAGAACCATTTAAACAGAAATTAAGACCATGCATTTTGGCAAATAATTCATATTCTTATCAAACTTATAATGCTGATGAAACTGGGCTGTATTGGAGGAGTTTACCAGAAAAAACTCTAGCAATGAGGAGTGAGGGTTGTGTGCCAGGCCGTAAGGTCAACAGGGACAGGCTCTCAGCCATGATGTGTGCGAATGCCGACGACACAGACAGAATCACATGTGCAATTGTTGGCAAATCAAAGAAACCAAGAGCCTTACAACATTGCATGGACAGACTGCCAGTCAAATATTACAACTCACAAAATGCATGGTGTACATGGATCTTTCTTTCCTGGTTTCATGACGTGTTCTGCAGGGAAGTTCGTGCCTATCAAGTTAAGAAACTCAAAGTAAGGCCAAGCAAAGTTCGGGCTTGGCTGCTGCTTGATAATGCGCCTGCCCACCCCAGAATTGACACGTTAACCTCACATGATGGCAAGATAACGTGTATGGCACTTCCTCCTAACACAACTTCTCTCATCCAGCCTATGGATCAGGGAGTTTTCTGTGCCACAAAGAGGTTGTGAAAAAGGATGCTGAACGAAGTTTTGGTGGTTTTGCCTCTTCCAGAAGATATTGAACTCTGTGTGGATAACAGGGCTAAAAAAAAAAAATTGAGAATTTGAAGAACTATACAATCAAGGAAGCCATCTATAACTGGGCCAAGGTGTGGAGTGAAGTAAAGGAATCGACTTTAAAAAATTCCTGGAAAAACTCCTCACGTCTACGGTCAGAAATGAGGAGGATGAAGAAATGGATTTTGAAGGATTTACAGATGAAATCTACGGAATGTTTAGAAATGCCGGCAAAAACTTAGAAAGACAGGATGTGGTTGATTTGGCTTGAAAAAGATGCCAATGACCCAGGATATGGTGTGATGAGTGAAGATGAGATTCTCCAGTCTATTATTGGTGAGGTCGACGTAGAGATGGAGGATGAAGAAGGCAGTGAAGAACCATCATCAATGACCATGAAATACAGTGAACTCATGTCGTCTCTTGACTTGTTAATTAATTTTTCATCCAATTGTGATCATCCAGAAGTTGGAAACATGTATCAGTACCTGAGGCGAACGAAAGAGCCTTGGAATAAAAGGCCTCGTACTCCGATCCTACAACTGGCCAGTGAACACAGAAGGCAAGCTACACTTGATTCTTATATAGTACGAAAATCAAGCCAAGTCCTTCAACAAGTGAGGCATCACAGGCAAGCCCAGCGCCTTCAACAAGTGAGGCGTCATAGGCAAGCCAAATGCCTTCAACCAGTGAGGCCTCCGCAGCTGGCAGTCAAAACTAACTTTGCCTAATGAACTGTACAGTAATTTTAAGTGTTAATTTTAGTGTTGTTAGTATAGGTTACGTAATTGTCAAGAATTTTCAACTTCAAGATGTGTGACATCAATCAAGAAGACGAACAACAACAAGGTAAGTTGAGGTTTCTAGTTGAATATTTAATAATTATATGTGGCAAGGCAATTCAAACTATGTTGCTTGTAGTATAAAAATACTGTAGTTGGAAATGGTTAGTTTTGGACTCGTAGGTGATAAAGTACCATTATCCGGAACACGTGACTATTTGGCTGGGGGTCCTTCCCATATAGTCCAGATAATCGAGTGGAGACAGTACAGCAAAAAAAGTTTTTAAAACTGTTGGCATTCTTTCTAAGATCAGATATTATGTTCTTCGCCCTGCCCTGGTGACGCTCTATTACTCACTCATCTATCCTTATCTCAACTATGGTATTTGTGCTTGGGGTTCTACTATCCAAAATAATTTACGTCCTCAAATTACCCAACACAAAGCTTTTATTAGAACAATATCTAACTCTGGCCCCAGACAGCACTCAGTACCCTTACTCAAATCTCTGAATATGTTAGATATTAATCACTGCACATCCTCTCATGTGTACTCTACATATTTAAAACTCTGAATTGTAATGTCAATCCTGACCTTAAAAGCTTCTTAGAAGGTTATAACAGAACCCATGGGCAGTACACCAGAAACAAATACCTATTAGATATTCCAAGAGTACGACTTAATCAAACTAGAAATGCTCTACAAATCAAGGGACCCAGAATGTGGAATGACCTTCCCAATCATGTCAAAGGCTGTACCTCTCTCAACCAGTTTAAGATGAAAACTAAGTACTACTTAATTAACTCCATGTAACCTACCTTACCCTTAAATGTCAACCCATGTCTTACTATTTTTAAGCAATGCTGTTTGTTGACCAACTTGTATATTGACTTTTTTTACCATGTTCCCCCCCCCCCCATTTTATCTTTTATTTATTTTAATTTTTTTAACACAATTTATACATTAAGCTCAATTACTATTAAGTTTTAGTCGAAGTGTTTTTCCCCCACCATTATGTTTGTAAATCAACTATGTATGTACTTTCCTGAATAAAATTTACTTTACTTTACTACTTTTAAAAATTGGTACCACATTAGCAACCTTCCATGACACTGGCACCTTGCCTGACTAACATCATGGTGACAAGATAACCGAGGAAAGGAGGATAGAAGCACAAATCAGCGAATCTGTATGCTGGTATAACATGGTTGCAGCTGGCAGTCCCAATCATTATAGAGAATCAGTAACAGCGATAATCCTTCTTGGATATAAAATCCATGGAGATTCAGAATGTAAACAATAGTTGAGCAGCGGAGTTGCAGAATCTGTGCTGAGAGTGACGGACACCGCCTTGACCACTACCTGAGAGAATGTGAACACCTGAGACACATAATAATAATAATAATAATAATATTTAATTCAGGAAAAGTACATAAATAGATGCAGAGTTACAAACATACTGTTGGATTTATAGATAGAGCTAGTACATACAATACCTAAAGCCACTAATACGCATAGCGTTTCGGGCAAGGTGTAGAGGAAAAACAGACTAAAACTTAATAGTAAATGGAAGAAAAGTATAAATTGTATTGAAAAAAAGGAAAAAAAGGGGGGGGAACATGGCAAAAATCAGCAAATCAGTAATTGTACAACTAAGTATTACCTAATTAATTCCATGTAACCTACCTTACCCCCTAAATGTCAACCCATGTCTTGCTATTCTAAACAATGCTGTTTGTTGACCAACTTGTAAAATTGCTGTTTTTTGCCTGTTCCCACTTTTTTTCTTTTTTCTTTTTTTATTCCCTTTTTTTCAACACAATTTATAATTTACTCCCAATTACTATTAAGTTTTGCCCGAAATGCTAAGCGTATTAATGGCTTTAGGTATTTTATGTACTAACTCTATCTATAAATCCAACAATATGTTTGTAACTCTGCATCTATGTATGTACTTTTCCTAAATAAAATGTTATTGTTATTAGTGTTGTAAGTTGGTCAACAAACAGCATTGTTTAGAATAGCAAGACATGGGTTGACATTTATGGGGTAAGGTAGGTTACATGGAGCTAATTAGGTAGTACTTAGTTCTACTCTTAAACTGGTTGAGAGAGGTACAGCCTTTGACATGATTAGGGAGGTCATTCCACATTCTGGGTCCCTTGAGTTGTTGGGACAGGATGGAAGTGACAGGATGAACCCAGCGTGTATTCTTCCTATTGGGGAGTGTTGTACATGCTGCTATGGCGGTGTGTTCACTTACAGGATGAGTGGCGCTGCCCAATAAACTCGCCCCTAGGGTCAAATTAAAAAAAAAATAAAAAATGCGCCATGGTCTTGCACCTGAACAACACACTTCCATAAAATCGAGCTTCACTCACGTTATCTACTATACATTGCCCACCATGGAGTTAAACACAACAATGTGAATCTGGGAGGTGACTAGGAGTGAACATAAAAGCAGTTAGTTGACGTTGGCGGTGAGCGACTGCGATCGCTTTTCACTTGTCTCAGACATCGGCTAGAAGGCTGGCTCACTTGTAAACAAAACAAATTATCCCAGGTACAACGCCACAGGCATAACTTACACTTCGCAATGTAAACCGCAAAATACTCGAAAGTCTATTCATCACGCCCGTCACACGCCACACACTCGTTGCACACGTAACAACAGCAAACATCACGATTATTAGACGAGAACCTCCATCCTCGCCCGACAGCGTCCGCGCAACTCTGGGCAGGAATCACACCAGAGACTAAACACCGCCGTTCATGCTACTACAGATACACGACGCAAATTAAAATTATCAAGAAACTAGTAGTAAATCATTGTAAAATTTCAGTTGACGCCCATTACTTGAAATAAGCTGGTGGGGGAATGATACTGTAACAAGAGAGCAGTACATAGTACATGAACATCATAACAGCATGAACAGGCCACGTGGAGGATGAACAACCCACAGGCGCCAGTCAGGCGACGGCAGACAATGTAAAAGTTACACCTCTGTATAAGTTAGCCATAGAGTCAGGTCAACGGTCATCGAATCACAAAGAGGTCAGAATTGATGCCGTCATGGTAATCTTCAGGGATTAACCCCTAAACAACAAATGCAAAACCCTCATGTTCAGCTGAGGAGCAGTAGATCAGGAGAGTCAGTTGAGTGGGCACAGCCCAGTAGGGAGGTGTGTGTGGACTCTGGGAAAGAACATCATCTCCAGGGAAACTGTGGAACAACATACGAGTAAGTACGGCTCTCTTGTACTAAAGCACCTCATTCAGTACCCTTGGCCTCTAGTAGGGAATATAGTTAGGGAGTGTCTTATTTAATTATTTCAAATAAAGTCAGATATTAAGTGTTATTAAATGTGTATTAATGGTTCCTTGCTTTAGTGATATTGGGCCTACCGTCCCCTTTGCCCTAGTGACCTAGTGCTCTTAATTATTCAGTACTCCTCCCCCCGTTCGTCTTCCGTGTTGAGGTATTAGTGTTGGTGTGTCCCGCCTTATTCTTGTGTACACTATAGTTCCCAAGTGGTCAGGATTATTCGAGTGTCAGGCCAGGATCCTTGTACCGTTCAATTGTCCCCTACACCTGTCCTGGTAGGTTACTCCATCTGCAAGACCTACGACTCTCACTCCGGTCCCCTGTCCGGTAACTCAGGGTGGTGGCAGCGTCACTCGGTAACTCATACGATAGGTTGTGACTACGATTATCTCTATCTTTCTGTCTCACTCTCCCTCACTAGTGTCTCACTCTCCCTCGCCCTCACTCGCTCTCGTTCTCCCTCCCTTGCTCTCGTTCTCGCTCTCCTCTCTCTCTCCTCTCGCTCTGCCTCCCTCTTCCTCTCTCTCTCCTTCCTCTGTGTACTGGTTTACGTCTTCGTATGACGGCCCGAGTGTTAACATCTTATATGATCGGTATAGCATCTGTTATTACCATAGAAAGAGCGGAGATTGCACGGTTAGCTCAGTGGTAGTAGCGGAGTGCGCGGTCGAGATAGATACAAGGCGAGGTATTACAATCAGGGTCATTACAATGGTGGCTTAGCGGTGGTGAACATTGTTTTACAGTGTTCAGTCTCACGCGTCTTGTGCCGTTCGGTGTAGCTATTAAGTAGTTTTAAGCGGTGTTTCTGTTCAAATTATCGCGATTGACTGATTTACTCCAATTGAACGCGATAATCTGAGGTGTACTGGTATTGTACAGCATGCTAGTGTGGACTAGTGTGTCAGTTGACTCACGTCTAGGGACGCCTGGCGTTTGAAGTCTGGTCACAGGAGTGGCAAAAGTTTTGAGTTGTTGACCGGCGAAGAAGCTAGGAAAACACTCTGGGTCACGTGATGTGGCTGTAGGTTTAAGGAGTAAGAGTAACTATTAGTTAAGCTCATACGAGCAGTAATTACAGTTTCCCGATAGGAAGTACAAATAGTTTCTATCAGTGAATTATTGTTAATGAATAGTGCGTGGGAAATTGTGTATTGGTATCGCGTAGGAGAAGTTGTCTCAACGCGGTGAAAGTAATATCGATTATTATCTGTCATAAGAGCAGGCAGATTGAAAAGTAATTACGTTTTTGTTTTGTTTTAGAAGTGACATTGAAATTACCACCCTTGTTAAGTAAAGGGGCTAGTTATAACGACGTTGTGAGTTTTTGTCTTGTTCTCAGTGAATCATTGTTAGTTCCAAAGATTTTTTTTTTTTTTTTTTTCAACATTTTTGGGTCAGCGCTAGTCCGGTGAACTAGTCGTTCAGACGTAGTTTATTGGCATCATGAGTTCAGATAGGGCTTTAAGGAGTCAGGGAGGGCTTAGCCAACAGAACCTTCTAGCAATACAGCCGAGACAGGCTGTCCAAGTGGATAGCACGGTTCAAGAGTCAGGTGACGATCCACAAGGTGCAGGTGATGGGGTCACATCAGGTCACATGCTGGGTAGCCGTCCTTTGTCCACCCCTGATACTCTGCAGCCTAATGACATCACCCCTCCCCCACTTCCTCCCAGACCGACCTCCCAACCCAACACCCCAGGGGCGCGGCGGCCTGCACCTTCCCCACATACCCCTCCCCAACCACCCCCCCTCCCACCTTACCCATCCTCAGAAATTAGGAAGCGCCTCTCTGAACCCCTATATGTGAACCTTACGGCAGGGCGCTTACATACGCCTACCCAGGGGTCCACCCAAGGGTCCGGTCAGGTGACTGTCCCCACCAATACCACCCCACCTCTCCCCCCTCGCAACCCCAACCTTGGTCAGACGACCAAACCCTCTTCTACCATCTCATGCCTTGCCCAGAACCAACCCCTAGAATCCCCTACCTCACACCACCACCCCACCCAACCCTCCCCCCCACCTGACCATCACTATAACTCTACCTTACACCAACCCTTCCCTCCCCATTACCAACCCTTCCCTAACCATTGCCAACATCTACACTCCATGCCCCCTGCGTCTCATGGTATGCGTCAGCCCCCATTGTCATCATTCTCATTGCCTAGACCAGTGTTACCCAAACTAATTTGCAAAGAATTACCAACAAATATAGTGGAACGTAACCGGAAAATAGACGACTGGCTAGGGCAAGTAGGTTCATGTTTGTCAGCTGCCCAGGATGACTGGGTAAAAATTAATTTAGCAGCAGGAGCGTGTATAGACCCTAATGGTTCAATAATGCAGGACCAAGAGTTTCAATATTTGCAAACATGGCCAGAGTTTGTGTTAGCAATTAAGAGACGATATAAAGAGAAAATAACAGAGGAAACAGCTAATAGGTATTTAGCTAGTTTAAAACGAGGCTCAAACGAAACTCTCAAAGACTTTGGAACTGGCATATTGCGTAGAGTGCGTGACTTGAGGCATGAATTAGGATACGATGACCTGAGAATTAGTCAGAAGGCTAAACAACTGTTGTGTATGTCAATCCCCGGGACACTTGGAGCTCACGTTTCGGCTGCAAGTGTAACGATGGATTACTATAGTTTAATAGAGTACGCTACGGACTTACAAAACATTCAGGGGCAGTGTAAGGATACAACTGAAACTAGACAATCCTCTTATGTCCAAGCGGTAGATACGAACAATTCGCATCGTGTTAAGGAGAGTGTAGGTAACTCTTCTAGCAACCAGAGGGGAGGGCACCATAGAGCAGGTCCGCCTCCTCACTGGTACTACACCTATGACCCCAGGTGTTGGAGTTGTGGCGGACGAGGCCACAAACGAGATGACTGCCCCAATAGTAATGAGGAAATATGAGATAAGGCCCCCAAGGAGGAAGGGCGGCCCACTTTTGAAGTGAGGGTGTGCGGGAAGAGGTTGACTGCATTCCTGGACACTGGTAGTCAGGTAACCATCATTAAGATGGACTCATTTAGGACCTTCAGTCAGGTGCGCCTTAAGGAAGGGGGTGCACAATTAACAGCTGTCAATGGTCAACACTTTGACGTTCTGGGAAAATGTATTTTAACTTTTAACATTGAAAAAGATAAACCTTGTATCCATGAGTGTACTGTGGTGGATAATGTAACATTCCCTGGTGATATATTGTTAGGCATGGATTTTTTGAGACGATTTACATATTCTTTGACATCGGAGAAGGGAGCAAGACACAGTAGGCTACAGTTGGGATCTGTGTCTTTCCCAGTAAAGTTAACTGATCACCCTCCCATAATTGCTTCAATTCAACGAGCACCTAAATATGTAAACCTTCCTAAACAATTGTTCAAGTCTCTTCAAGACCCTGACAAGAAAACATGTAGACTACATGCTGTACACAGACAAGTATGTCCACCACGGTCATTTAAGTTTATTAAAGTCGCCGTAGGAAGAAACATTCAACCCGGAAGTACCCTTCAGGTAGCTGGCAGAATTGATAAGTTGATGATACCATATACTCTGGTATCTGTACATGACAAAGGTGCGATAATACCAGTGGTCAACCTCTCTCACAAACCTTATCGCTTTAGGGTAGGCGATAGTCTGACACAAGGAATTGTGGTAAATTTAAAAGAAATAATAGAGTCAGATACCACACAAACATCGACTGTAACAGCGCAATGTAGCGCATTGAACGTAAGAGACGAGGAGTCACACAGTAAGATCGGTAAAGAAACCCCGTTATCTCCTCAAGATAAGGAAATGGTGGACAAATTAATAACTGCTCTAGATTTGACTCATATGTCACCTGCTGAACGTAAACAGGTACGGGAAGTCCTCCGTAAATTTCCTAGGTTATTTGCGACCGAGGATGAGGAAATAGGCTACCTGCCTCAAGTCGAACACACCATTCCAACAGGTGATAATCCTCCGGCCCAAACACGTCAATGGAGACTCCCAGAGCAGGCGAAACAACTTATTAGAGATGAGTGTAGAAAGATGATGAGACAGGGCGTTATAGAAGAGAGCACGTCACCGTGGCTTTCCCCAGTAGTGCTAGTACGCAAACCTGATGGTAGTTACAGGTTCTGTGTAGATTACCGTAAAGTGAACGAAGTGACAACAGCGGACGCTTATCCTCTGCCTCTCATTCAGGAAATCATAGACCAGTTTGGCACAGCTAAGTACTTCTCGACACTTGACGCAAAGTCAGCGTATTGGGCCATACCAGTTGCAAAGCAAGACAGAGAAAAAACAGCATTTTCGGATGGTGTGCGGACTTACCATTTCAAGCGTATGCCATTTGGATTAAAAACAGCTCCTTCATCTTTTCAGAGGGCGATAAATTATATTCTAAGCCCTGTTCTTGGTAGGCACTCATTGGCGTACCTTGATGATGTTGTAGTGT